CTCTGGCAGATGTGGCATTGGCAAACGCGACACAGAGGGATGTGACAAGTGCTTGTATATGGGCTTGACCTCTTACTGCTGTTGGCGCCCAGAGACTTCCGTGGCAACAAGCCTGAGAGGCCACGTGGAGAGGAAACAGGATGTCCTGGTAGAACACCGATTGGTGGCAGCTTGCCAATAATCAGACATATTCATGAGGCCATCCTGTACCACCTAACCAGCAGCAGCTATAGGACAGACCCCAGCAGAGATCAGTGAAATCAGACCAACTAAGCTTAGAGTCATAAGCTAAAATCACAGTTGTTTTAAGCCACTTCATTCTGGGTTAATTTGTTAGGAAGCAATAGCTAACTGATACAAAGGTTTCAGAGGTGTTTTGGAAAGATTACTCTGGTAGCCTAGCTCTGATGGCACAGGCAGTAGGGCACCATTCTGCAGTGCCGGAACCACATGGAAAACCACGGTTCAGATTCTAAGTTGATCTGAAGCACACCAGGCACACATGTGATCCTGGCTGGAAGACTGGGGGAAGGAAGTTACAGTGTGATGAGACCTTGTCAAGGGTGCCATCTGTCTCTCTCTCTCTCTAATATTAATAAAAAATAAAGTAAAAAGAAGAAAGAAAGATTAGTCTGACCACAAGGTAGAGGAGAGGTTAGACATGGTAACAATGGCAGCTGGAAACCCACAAGGAGGCTGATGTCAGAGTCCCTGGTGAGAAGAGGAGGCATCCAGCAAGGATGGATAGTTAAGAATTCTCCCTGGGACCAGCAGTTGGCATAATGGCTATGTCGTTGGACTCCCATGTAGTCGACCGTGGTTCGAGTCCCGGACCCAGCGGCTTAAACTCAAGCTGGGTGTGTGCACATGCGTGCCTAAGATCCTGAGAGGAGAATGGAGAAGAAAGGATTGTGGTGTGGCCATCCCCCCTGGGGGGTGATTTCTCAATTTCTGTCTCTCTGTCTCTGTCTATATGGCAAGCGCACATGCTCAAAAAAGAAAAAGAGTTCTCCCAGCACTATGAGGTCAGGGAATTGTCGTTGGGGCTCCTCTTACACACATATACACACAGCCTACACCCCATACCCTGCGTTATCTGCACCCCATTCCCCTGAGAGCCTGTATCTTCCTATCTGTGTTGTGCTCTCTCTGCCCAATTCCACCTCCATCAGCTCACCCCTCACTCCTCCACTTAGCTCTCCTGCTCCAGCTCCTTCTACACTCCAGGAAGGAATTACAGATGACACACGCACACTGTGGACACCACACTGTGGACACCGTGCAAAGCACGCTGAACAAGGAGTCCAGGCGCTCACCTGCACCCTGCTCCCAGCTCTGCCTCGGAGCAGCGGTGTGACCTACAAGCTTCTGCCTGTCTTTGGGCCCTGCTTTCCACAAATGCCTTTTGTTCAGGCATTTCGTTCGTGACCTGGTCCTTTGAATTCCCAGGATGAGACCTGTCTAGGCCCCCCTGCCACAGCTAATCCACCAGCATTTGAATTCTTGGGAGAAGTAGACTATGTGCCCACTCACCCACCCTGCCCCTACTCTGGCCGGAGTTTTATGGGGAGATTGAAAGAGACAGCCCCACAGGCCCATCCAGCATCCAGCCTGAAGAGTCGCCGCCCAGGGCCCACCGAGGCCACAAGTGTGTTGGGATGGCTTGGTGTGATTGAATCCAGGCACTGGACAAGTTCACAGCCTGAGAAGAACCCAGAAAACGGGCTGTCCAGGATGGAGGAAGAACTCGGGGCTGGGAGTAAGGCACCCAGAGTGTGACGCCAGCCTGCCACTCAGCGATCCTGCCACTCAGGTGAGCTACCTGACCTAGAGCACGCCCCGTGTGCAGTGGGCATCACAGCACGAGAGGACAGCACCCCGAGTCATGCCTGGCCCCGTTACCTACTGGGCATGCTCATTTCCTTCCCGGCCCCTGAGCCTCAGTTCCTCATCTGTCAAATAGGGGGGTCAGTCTCCTCTCGAAATTGTTGTGTGAGACCAGAGAGGAAGCTCCGCACGGAAGTGATCGGCAAGCCTTACTTCAAGAAAAGTTCAAAGAAGCCAGAATCGATTCCTGGTGTGCCGCGATCTGAAGTGCACAGCACCTGGGACAGCTTCTTGTGAACAGTGTTTAATTTGAATCTAATTAAGCATCTAAGACTACCTTCCAATTTACAGGGAAAAATGGAGGCTGAAGGAACAAATTAAGTGATATCAGGAAGAAACAATCAAATAAATTCAGCAGATAGACTCTCCTGAAGAAAACCGGCCTAGACTTCAAAACGTTAATGTGCTAAGGAAGGAAAAAGGGGGAAGAGGACGATTCTAGTTTTTAAAAGACCAAAGGCAAAAAAATAAACATATATACCTTGATTCGATTCTACTTCAGATTTTGTTAAAAACAGCTATTAAAAGCCGTTGAGAACCACTGGGAAGATGACTATGAGCTGGAGATGAACCTATGTTAGGGAATGACTGTTGATTTTGTCATGCACAATAATCGCGTTGTGGAGATTAAGAACGCTGTATGTAAGCTGTGTGTATATGTGCGTAAGTCCCTATTCCCAGGAGATGAGAATCACGATGTCTCCAGCTCACCTTCAACACCATTCCAGAGAGACGTAGCAGTGGCCACCAGATGTCAACAAATGCTGAATCCAGACAGACGGCGGACGGATGCTAATTCAACTCTTCCTTCAACTCGCCTGCAAGTTTGAAAACTTCCAAAACAAGAAGTTGGGGTCAGAAGAAGAAAACCCAGGATCCCCAACTGCGGAAGCAAACTCAGCCAGCTGCCGAGGCCCTGGCTGGCCCTAGGCAGCTGGCCATGCAGGGACAAGGGCTTGAGTCACCATTGGAAGTGGTCCTTCCTGTCCTGGCGGCAAGCTGGAGACAGCAGGGGGTCTGGGGCCCAGCTGCAGCCCCCCTCCCCCACCAAGCCTTTGGAAAGGTCAGTTCCCCAGGCATCAAGAAGGGCCCTGTCCCTGGGGGAGGCTGCAGCAAGGAGGGTTTTGTGAGGCTCACTACTCCCTGCCTGGGAGGTGACCATGTCACAGTTCCTTGTGACAAAAACACTTCTGTCTCCGCTGGTCTGAGCTTTTGGTCCCTGCTGCAAGACTTGCTGTTGATTCCCATTTCCAGAGGCTCCTATAGCAACTCCCCCCCACACACACACACTTGCTGGTTTCTGCTCACAATGGGGAAAGAGCAGCCTGGGGCTAGGGTGGGAGCTGTTTGGGGTTCAGATCCCAGGGATTTCCAGGCGACCTAAGCTGGGCACCGCAGAGCCGGGAAGAGCTAACAGAGCTGGAGAGTGGCTCAGACCCCCCAGCGACAGAGCAGCTGAGCTGGGATAAGCTTTGCAGGGGGCAGGGGTGTTGTGGGCTTTTACTCATTCGAGAGACTGTGGGGGGTCCCATGCAGCCTGGATCTGCAAGCTGCTGGCCAGACCTCAGAATCCACAGGAGGGGGCAGTGAAACCCACTGAGTCTGGGAGCAGGTTTAACATCTTTTGACCTCAGTGAGGACACACAAAAACTGGACCAGCGCTGCTCAGAGCCAATGGTGCCAAGCACTGTGCCACTCACAGTCTCTGCATTACCTCAATAGGTCCTACGAGAGCCCTGCTTATGCTGCTTAATTATGATCAGAGAACGTGGGCAGCTTTCTACCATGGCTGGCTGTGAACGAATCAAGCCGACGGACATACTAGGGGGGTGGGAGGGCACAGCACATTCAGCATTGTCAGTTGGGAACCAGATCCCACATGGCTGACCACAGTTTGAATCCCGGCCCCAGAACCTTGAAACACTTGCCCAGATGCAAGGATATGCATGTCCAAAATTCTCACAAGAAGGAGAAATGGGGAAGAAAGCACTGTAGTGTGGCCCTGTCCCATTGTGTATGGGGGGAGGGGTGTGCTTTCTCTCTCTCTCTCTCTCTCTCTCTCTCTCTCGGAAAAAAATAAAAGAGAAAGAAAAGAAAAGGAAAACTAAGGGAATAAGAAATGGGATCCAGCCCATGAAGCATGGTGAGCCAGGACCTGTACCCAAATCACTGGTCATACATGTCCACACGGAGGACAGCACTGGTCCTTTGAAAACAGCGCTAGCTCCAACCCAGCACCTAGACAAAAACCCAAGCTTCGGCCATGAGCAAGGCCTTCCTGAGGGAGTCTTGGGGACACACGTCCTGAGAGAGATTCCATAACAAGGAGGTTCTCAGGTTAAATGAGTTCAGGGAACTCTACAGACTTCATCCCCCTCCTAGAGATTCACGGAAGACATTAACACAATAAAGGCCCCAGAAAATCCCGAAGTAAAGGGGGATCCCCATCCTGTCTAATCCAATGCTTCTCAGCCAGAATGTACCAGAACATCTTCTGGAAATTCTGCCAGAGAGCCATCATCGTAGCTTGTGGAATGACTCTGGCTTTTGTAGTCTGTCAACTCCTACCTTCTCCCCCACTGTAGGGCCGTACTAAAATCCAGTGAGATGCAGACCTGAAATGGCCAGAAGGCAGGTGACAGAGGAGATGCAGCCTGCAGGAGTCAGTTCCCCAAAAGGACAAGTTCTGCCCAAAAACGGTATGTAGGTTGTGGAAAGCTGTTAGCCAGAAACCCTCCTTTTGTTATCAAAGAAAGTCCTGGTTTGTTCAAATTAAATCACATTAACAGCATCCAAGGAACTGCCATTCCTTCTTTGCCTTTGGAATGAGGGGACAGCTATCCACCACACAGAAGCCAGAGCCAGTGTTCTGATAAAAGTTAGCATAATGAGTAGGTCAGAACTGACTGCTGTTCCAGCCCTGACTGGTCGAGAGACCGGTCCTGCCAACCTCCCCTCTTGACTCGACAGCTGGGCTCGTCCCAGTGCAATGGTGATATTCAAAGCCTCGCTTTCTGTCTCTCTGTCTCTCCAGCAAGTGCAAAAGTCTCTCTAAAAATAAATAAATACATACATTTAAAGAAAAAAAAGAACACACAGATCCTTCCAGAAGGCTGATTCTCAGGCCAGACTATATTTTGAAATGGCATTGCCCTGTGAAACCCTAAACTGATTATGACTCTCCAGACCATCCCCCACCCCACGGTGTCACTCAGTCCAGCCATCCGCAGTCTTAGCATGAGGAAGGAATTCGTCCGCAGACTGGATCCCGGGAAACACAGAAGCCATCTCCCAGTTACACACGCTGCCAGCACTAGGAGGAGGAAAACCACCTCGTTAGAAACACAGTCGGTGTGGGAGACGTATTCTAAATGAATCTGAAACTTTTCAGAACAAGTCCAGGCATTCGCTGCCCTTAGCTTTAAAAGAAGTGACCTTCCTGGGGCTAAGACACGAAGCTGGATTGTCATGGGACACAGAGAGGAAGCAAGACAAAGGCTAGGCCCCCATTCAACTGACCATTTCCTGAGCATCTGCAGTGCCCTGGGCTCCAGATAAAAGGGCATGCAGAGAGATAGGGGCCTACCTTGTCGGAGCTCACAGGTCTGCGAGACAGACTAGAAGACCCAGTACCACGGACAGAGGGAGACCGACGACTCCAGTCAGAGCTGAAGAAAAGGGGTACCCCTAACACTGAGCATTTAAACAGCAGACTCCACTCAGTCTGGGGAGTCAGGGCCAGGACAGGCACAGCCCCGGCAGCTCAGGGCTCTAGCAGTCCCCGAGAGAAAGACCTGGAAGCTAGTATCGAGTACCGTGTGGCATTTGCGTGTGTTTGTACATGTATTTGCTTTCTATTTGTATGCTTGCAGACATGTTTACACGTGTTCATGTAACGATGCATGGGTATACTACGCTAGATGCTTGACTCAAGCACACACAGCCTGCTCGTCTTCTCATTCCAGACCAGTCTGTGCCAGTCGCCATGGCCGTCCACTGTTGACCGTCTTTCCAAAAGCCCCTCACACACTGCTTATGGTCACTGGTGTCCAGAGCGAGAAGGCAGGTCAGAGCCCTCATCCAGGGATGAGGCCTTAGCCAGGGAGCATCCAGCCCTGCCGTGGGCACTGCATGGGAACCTGGACCAGGGCATGCTTGCAGATCTGGGAGGGAGGCCACGAGGACACATGAGGGTCTCCGTGTACCTCACTGTGTGTGTGAGCACGTGTGGACGCATGTTGGTGTGTGCAGACACACACACGTGTGGATGTGTGGCTGCTGTGTTCTGCCGGGGAGGCGGGCAGAGGGAAGTGCCTCGTTTTCCTGGGCTGGCAGTTTATGGCTCACTGCCTCTGGGAGTCGGGCACTCGCTATGCATTCTGGTGTTCCTTACAGCCGTTTTGCCTGCAGCGGTCACACAGTTGAAAAATCTGGGTCCATGTGACTGCTCGGAGACTCTGCGAAGGCGAACAAGTAGGATCCGTGGCCATTTTGCAATTCCTGCTCATTAGACATGTCTGGGGCCTTGCGAGTGAGCTCTGAGGATAAATAAGTATAAATATTATATTTGCCTCCAGGTTATCTTTAAAAATGTATTTCCCTCTCCCTCTACCTGCCCCCCAGCCCCCACCAACTGTCAGTGCCTCCTGAAAGCTCCTGGGTACCGGCAGTGCCACGCTGAGTCCAGGGCCCTTAGCAGATTGTTTGTTTACCCTGGGCCGGGCCCGTCCCTGGTCCACAGGGTGCTCAGAGGCAGCAAGGCCTCCCTGTGAGAGTCATGGTGGCCCCTGGGTGGGGTGGAGGGGTGAGAATGTCCCTGTGGTGCTGAGAGTCTGAGCCTCCAGCAACACCACAGAGATGACAAGGGACTTGGTCCTCACAGCTCAGCCTGGCGAGCATGGTGGGAGCCACTATGGATCGAGGCTGTCAACGGCACAATGCCACCACCTAGAAGGGACTAAGGCAGGCTGGGGCAGTCTAGGCCCCCTCCTACGTGTGGGTCATTTGGTTTTAAAAGAGTAAAGCTTCCCAAATAACTCAAGGAAAGGGGCAGACAGGGTGGGGGAGGACATGGGGATCTGCCCCTGCCCTCCCTCCATCCCCCTGCTGTGAGCTACAATTTGCACGGGCAGGATCCAGGACCTGGTATTTTTGGAAAGCTCTCATATGATTCTAGCTTCAGTCAGCGCTGAGAGCCTCTTTGTGAAGTGAGGAGAGAACGGAGCGCGGGCAGAGCCCTACTCGTCCAGCTGTGGACAGCTGTGGGCATCGAGAACCGCATTGCTGCAGAATGCCCAAGGAGGCCCCCTCTCTGCCCCAACAGCCTCTCAGTGTCTAAGGGAAAACAGACTCCCCTGCACAGACCCTCTCTGGGCCGAGCTGCATCAGCTTTGCCCCATGGGATAGTTCCAGTTCCTGCACTGTCCCCCCCCAGCTCCCAGTCACTGTCCTCCATCTGCCACTGTCACCTAAAACATGAGACACAGAGGGATTCTCTGAGTGTCGAGCCAGAACAGCAGGTCAGGAGCTGAGCTGCCCTAAGTATCTTGGAATTCAGGCAAAAAGATCTGTATGGAGGAGGGCATTCTACCACCCCAACCACAGGAAAAAAATGGCCCCCCAAACTGCATGCAAGTAATAGCTACCATTCATTTAATACTTCCTGAGTGCCAGCCACAGGGCTGACTGCTTTATCTGCATAATCATATCTAACCTTTACAATAATAAAGGGAGCATCACTCTTATTTTGCAGGTCAGGAGACTAAGGCCCAGAATGGCTAGATAACCAGCCTAAGGTCACACAGCTGGGAAGAAGTAAAGACAGGCTTTGAATCTGGATCATTCCAAGGCTGCACTCTTACCACACCTCCATATTGGCCATAGAATCCTCAAAAAGCAACAGAATCGAACTTTCTATATCCAATGTAGATCACTCTTGGTAACACTGAGGAGTTGGGAGTTTCAGGTCTCCACATGGAGGCCAGGGCTCTTCAGAATCCTGTGACGAGAGGATGCACCCCAACTTACCAGAACATACTTGTCTACCCGTTACCTGCACCTGGATCATGTCTGTCATTGGACTTCCTGGGCTCCCTGTGGTATGACCAGAGACCATAGGCTACCATGTCTGGAAAACAGAATTTGAATAGGAAGATGAAAAGAGACTCCATATGGAAGACCCCCAGAAACCTCCCAATCCAACCTCTCTCCTTATATGTGAGCAAAAGCAGACCCCGAGAAGGACTTTCTAGTGCTTAGAGCAACGTGGAAAGTAGACTTGCTCTCGTGCAGTAACTGATCAGCTGACTGGCTTTGCGGATTATGTCGAGAAGACCTCTGAGGACACATCTTACAGGAATGCTGTAGACGCTGTAGCTAACTAGCAACACCCACCACGATTTAGGGAAGAGGTAATGGTAGCAAACATGCCAGGTAATACCAGCCCTGTGACGGAGTCAGGATTAGGTCTCACGTCTTCCAACTGCAAGTCCAATGCCCCACAGGCACAAGCCCTCTAGTCAATTATGAAACAGTCTAGAAAATTCTATTCTAGAAAATTACGAAACAAAGGAATCTCAAAGTGTCTCAGTGGTTGTTTTAGGCAGACACATTTGGTTGCAAGGAATAGAAACCCACTCAAGTTAGCGTAAGTGAATAAGAATTGGTTTTCAGGGTATGACACGCAATCTCACAGACGCTCAAGGACAAGAAACAGTGCATCCAGCCCACAGGAGTGCAGAAGTGGGACTGGAACCTCAGTAGCAGAGGGAGGCCATTCTGTCTGCCTCTTAAAGCCACACGGGCAGAAACTATGGGCTGCCTTATAATAGCTATACCCCCACCTTCTTGTTGCTAGTAGAACACAGAGTTTGCTCAGAAACCAGACAGTAGTTGGGACCAGCAGTTAGCATAATGGCTATGTCGCTGGACTCCCATGTAGTTGACCGCGGTTCACGTCCTGGACACAGTGGCTTAAAACTCATGCCGGGCGTGTGTGCGTGCGTGCCCAAGATCCCGCAAGGAGAATGGAGGAGAAGGGATTGCGGCATGGCCATCCCCCCTAGGGGGTGATTTCTCACTTTCTGTCTCTCTGTCTCTCTCTGTCTGGCGAGCGCACGCGCCCTATAGCAAAAACCTCTCCAAAAACAAAAGAAGTCAGACAGTATGGAGTCTAATCCAGGGAATACATCAAGGCTGGTCTACATCTACTCCCCTGCACCAGGGATTGGTCAACCCAGTGCTGGCCAATGACATAGAAGAAACAGTCTGCAGGAAGCCTCCGGGACCTGACTGCAGGAAGCCTCCAGGACCTGAGGAGGAGCTTATCCTTCTTTTCCAGCCTCAGACAAGGCCATGTGAGATGGTTGCTATGGGATAGGTCCAGAATGCTCAGATGTTGACTCCTGGACCAATCCCCTTTGAAGATAGGTAAGATCACCTGCTGCAGCCATCTTGCCAATTTGAGAGACGACATCACCTATTTTGCTACCAAAGTGAAAAGCTGGGAAGAAACTTGATAAGATTTTTGAGGCATCGGCTCTATCTTCCCTGGATTTGTCCCACATTCTCGTGTCCCCATTAAATGATAGAGTAAGTGGGCATAGCATTTAAACATTTTTTTAGTTCGATGTTTTTGCTGCTTAATACTAAAGCATTCTTTATACTTTATATTTCACTCTCTCTATCCCTCAACATCCCCATCTGTAAACTAGGTAATGAAGATTGTTCTAGTGATTAAAGGGTATGGTGTGTGTGAAACACTTAGCACAGTGCCTTATACGATCATTAGCCACCATGGCTGCTAGGAATCATTGTTATTTGTGCTAGCTAATCTCCTGCTTCCCACATAGAGAAGACATCTAGTGCTCCCACCCCTTGCGTCTAAGCTGGCCTGTGACTGCTCAGACCAACCCAATAGGGTAGAAGTCATACTATTCTAGTTCTAGGCCTGGCTTTTAAGAAGACCACCATCAGGGCCAGCAGGTGGAATAGTGTGGTTAAGACTATGGACTCCCACGTGGCTGACCACAGTTCAA